CCGCGGAGGGAACCGGGCCGGCGCGCTCAGATTGAGGCCGACTTTGCAATGCAAATGCGTTGAACTGGAGGCTGAATGGGAAGTATGTATGAGATGTGAACGACATTCATTATGTGGCAGATTTAGTTCCGCAACATCGGCCCCTATTAACTAAAAAAAGAAAAAAAAAGCCAGTGATAAACGTGATTTTAATTGACTGCCAGGAGTAAATACTGAAGACAGAAGTCAAGTGGTTTGTCTCGCCTGTACAGAAGAGAGAAACAAAAGCAGTAATGGTGGAACCTGGTTTGTTTTTAGACTCTCGGCTTGAAGTACTCGGGTAAAGAAAAGAAGACCTTTTGTGTTGGGTATCATTGTACACTGAAGGATAAATAAATGTGGTATAGAGGCGTCTCCACCGACATCAAAGGGCCTCGAGCCTGAGAAAGACGTCTCTTTGCAGGTGTTTCTCCTTTTCACAAAGGGTGCAGATCTGTCCCTCGCTCCTCTCTTTGACGTGTGATGAGTACAAAGAAGCATCGCCTCCGAATACGAGGTTGGATCTTCGTTTGTTAACGAGGACTCCGATGTGAAGTCAAATATGAAGTGCGGCAATCCCCAGAGAGATCTGACGAAAGCCCAAACTAGCGGCCGATCATCACAGCCTGATGCAAGCGGCGAAGATGTACGTGGAGATGTGGTATCACCGAGCTGCAGCCCAATTAGGCCGTTCTGATTTCTAGTCTTCACTCCGCTCGAGGCGTGAAAAGCGCCCTCATGAGCCTGATTAGTTCAGATCACACGCGTCTACCTTCTCCCCACAGCTCCGTCCCTGCCGGCCTCCTCGCCGTCTGTCACGGGATCCACAAAGGATCACAGGCACAGATTTGTGGTTGCGTGTTCGTTCAGATTTTCACGCCCCTTTTAAGCTTCCTCAGTTTCACGTTCGGACAGTCCACTCGTGTACAGTTATTTGGTTATTTTCCTCTAACCTCTGCTTGCTCCGGCTCTCTGTGCTGTGTACCCCTTTGGCTTGTAGTGCACGGCCGCCTACGAGCCTCAAACACTGGCCTCCCTTTTTTTATCGCAGAAGCGAGCGTGATCCTCAACACCAGGTGCTGCAGGACAGCTGACTGCAGGGCACGCTGGGAAAATTGGAAATGGAATGGGTGTATTTGTAGTGTGTGTTTGTGTTTGAAATTGTCCAGGCCTGCGTGTGTGTGTGTCAGTGTGAATAATAACCCAACGGCTGTGTGCCGTGCAGTGAATCAATGTGGCTCTGTGCCAACAGCAAAAAGCTCCCCTCCCTCACCTCTTTTCATTTTTTTTCCCCCCCTTCCGTTAGTTTGGCACACATATAATCTCGCAAAATAACTTGTCACATATCACCGTTTATTCTGTTTATTTTTGAAAGACTCGTACTACAGCTTCGACGTAGTAAATCCTTCTTCAAAGGTCCACATTTCACAGGTGAGGATTAAGTGGAGAACTGTCAGTAAAGCAAGAAGAGGAGAGCTGAGCGCGACCTCTAAGGGACTAAAGTCTGAAGTAAATAATTAGCTCCTCTGTTACTCATTATAGTGAGTTTTATTGGCTCTGACATTGGACACACTGGTTACCGCACAAGGCCATGTGACGGAGACGCACCACGCAGAGATCAGGCCCTGATGACATCCAGTCAGCGTTGAAGGTTATTCGGTTGATAGTGGACGGTTATATATAGCGTCGGCGGGTACCTCGAGGCGATACCTCCCTTCTACCTCGCCGGCTGCTCTGAGAAGAGATGGAAAGTCTTCCATCACTGAGCGAGATGCACCGGGCAGATGAATCCGCCCTGTTTTATTTGTTATTTTTCATTCCTGCTCCTCAGCAATGAGTCTCAGCGCCGACCGGCCTTCAGCGTTGTGTGTGTGTGCGTGTGTGTGTTTGTGTGTGTGTGTGTGTGTGTGTGCGTGCTGCTTTGGGCCTTGTTCGACCCTGACCCTCGTCCCGCCATCTGTAAAGCTGACTCAAACCGATCCCACGGACACAGCGTTGCATTGTTCAGCGGTCGTCACTGGCAGTCGCTGTCACGGCACAAGAACGCTGCAGAATATCTCCGCTCAACATCTGCCCACTGCAGTGCTCGGCGCTCGTGTCACATTTCTGCCCCTCCAGGTTGGACCAGCCCCATGTGACCGATCTGGCATCGGCCAGTGAGATTATCCCGTCAGCCTTATCGAAACCCGCCTCTTTCTTTTTTTTCATATAGTATACAGATGTGACTATTTTGGGGTTTGTGTACTTTTTTTTTCTTTCTGACCAAAAGGAATTTATCTAGTTATATGCAGCTAATGAAAGGATATGGTTAACCTCAGTGGTTCAAGTTAGTTCAATCTGCCCCAGCAACAAAGCCTCCTGCAGCGAGCTTTACTTTAGTTATCCCAACCAGGCTGGGGGAGCAGAGGGGGGGGAGATGATTAAATCTGCAGCAAAAACACAAGAATGGGATCCAAATCCAGAGAGTCCTAATTGGGTTTTGGGCTTAAGTTGTCAAGAGGACCTGGTAGTGATTGAAATGCTCCTGGCCCTAGATTTGACGTTTCCAGTGGTTTTATTGTCCACCCCAGAAGGACTGAACTGGTCCAATATCTGGATTCATTTCTACTTACTTCCAGAGCTCACTCCATCCCACCGAAGCACCCAAAGTAGTATTTTAGATTCTGTTTACTGGATCTTCACAAGGCCTCTGAGACTCGACGTATCGATCGGTTTCTTGACCAGTTCTCTTCTGAAAGAATCCGAGGATCTCTGTTACCGAACAGTGATCACGCAGCTAAAAGATGTGATCGGCCATAGAGTCCTGATTCCATTTCACCTTCTGCTCTGCGGACCTTGCTTCTGAATGCCGCGTTCTTTGCTCAGATTAGGGGACAACGCAGCGGTTTCCAGCATGCTTTCAACCCGAGCGGTCACGTCTGTTGTGATAATGGATCCAGCTCAACGCGCTGGCTGGTAAGATGAAACCAAGGACCAGAGAAAGCAGTGTTTTGAGGCTATACCTAAAACAACGGACGGCGTAGCAAACGCATCCTTTCTTAAAGGAGTCTGACTCAGGCCAATTTATACTTGTGTTAATCTCATGACCAGCGTCGTCACAGCATCTGCTGCGGTGTGAGCAACGTATGAGGAAGTGATGAATCCTTCTGACTGCTCAGGGGAAAAGAGAGAAACTCTGGTGCTTGTGTCGTTTTTTGTAAATTGCCCTGAATCCCGTGATGCTTCTGATCTGATGATGATTTCACTCCACACGGAAGCCCACTGTATAAACAAAGCCCAGCCCAGCATACATGCTCTCCATACAGCGCCATGATGGCGGCCCCGGCCTCCAGAGGGTGATGACTTCTGACCTGCCTTTGATTAGCCTTACAAGAGATTACTCATCCACGCTCTAAAGTGGAACAAACTGCAACATATGGGCAGCTAAAGATGAATTATGAATTGGGTGCGCAGCTCACTGCGGGATTACGGGCTTGGTCGCGTGCGTCCCCCGTCTCCCCCTCCCCCTAAAAGTAGCCTGAAGCCACGCTTGGGGAGTTGAGATTAAAGGCCGTGCGGGTCAGAGGGGTTCGGCTTCGGGGCTCTACTTTTTATCTTTTGAAGGACGGCCCGTAGATTAGATTGATTGGAGTCCCTTCGATGTCCACGGCACTCGGTGATTATGATGTGGGATTCCCCCGGGATTTTTGATTGGGTTAATCTCGTCTCTCTGACTTTCTAATCAAAAATCGTCTCCTCTCATCATGGTCTTCTGTTGCAGGGGTTGATTTATTATTTTGGAGAGGACAAACATGTCACATTGATTGTCAATAAACATCAAAGTGATTCTATCCATAATCCTGTCTAGTTGTGTTGTAGGGAAGCAATACACTATTTTATTTTCAGTTAATCTGTAGATTGTTTTCTTGAATGGAAAAGGGTCATGAAACGTCAGGAGAAAAGATTCATTCATAAAGACAAAGTTCATCACGAAAGAAAAAGATCAGCAGCAGATTGAACTCACTGTGTCGGTTAAGTAAACATTTGATTTGAAACCAGTTGAACGTGTTGTCAGTTATCTGTTCATCTGTAAAAATTGAAAAGTCTTTGATTAAAGGTGTGAATATGTAGTTGGCTGCAGATGAGGTTCCTCGTGCAGGAACAAAGTTGGTACCACTTGAACCTGTCGTGGCTTCTAAATGAAGCGTGTTGCGGGAAGAGGGTTCATCTCTTCATCGCCTCATTTGAATCAGAGTCCCGTGCAGATGTGAAAGGGTAGCGGGTCACAGGGGAGAAGAGAGCGCAGCTGTGAAGGTCAGACTCGGGTGGCGTCCGATTAACGCGCGAGGCGAGAGGAGGATCAGGATTTCCATCGCTGGTTAGTAATCAGGGAGGTGACTACGTCGTGATGGCGGAGAGAAGCCCGACCTCACTCTCCCTGTCGGCACAAATACACGACTGATCCCCGTCCCCCTTTTAACCCAGAAGGATCCCAACAGCCAATATGTCTAGTGTCTGGATGTTCTAATACTCTTTAATATCTTTGGAGATCATAGCCGATTTCAGGAAGATATTATTTGATTTTTAATGAAATTCATGGAGATTAAAAATCAAATAATATCTTCTTGAAATCTGCCATGATCTCCTAAGATATTAAAGAGTATTAGAACATCCAGACACTAGTCACCATTTGCTCTACTTTCCCCCGTTGGGTTTCCCCGTCTGAGGAGTCACTGCTGAGCACGTGCACGGGGAGGGGGGGTGCAGCCCAGATGGAGCCGGCTTGATTATCTCTATGAGCGACCGCAGTGTTTTGGGACGTTTTGGACTCTGCAGCAGCACAGATTAGCGTCACTTTAGTCCCAAATCTTGAAGCCAATTTGATCAGCCACACCTCTGTCTGTGTGTGTGTGTGTGTGTGTGTCTGTGTCCACATATTTCTTAATACCAGAGCTTCTCTAACAAACCGACGCCTTTTCTCTCCTTTTGCTTGTTTCTTCCAGGCCTTCGGACAAGCCTACTCCAACCACAGGAAGGTGGCGGCGGACGGGGAGAGCCGGGAGGAGTCTCTCCTCCAGGAGTCTGCCTCTAAGGAGGCCTACTACGAGCGGCGGGTCCTGGAGCTGCAGAACGAGCTCCGCCAGGCGCGCAACGTCCTCACCAACAGCCAGTCGGAGAACGAACGCCTGAACGCCATCTCCCAGGAGCTGAGAGAGGTACAGCTGCCCCTGCGTTTGTGACGCTGTGGGAGACGGGAGGGCTCGGCTATTTCGTCATTTCGAGAGAATTGCTGTTTCTCAGAAGCTTCTGTTGAACTCTCTTCTAATTAAAGCAGAGGGTGTTTGCAGCTTTAAAAAGAACTGGTGTGTTTCTTTCTATTCACCGTCCGTCTGAAGCTGCAGAAAAGAACCGATATTAAGCACTAATCCCTCTCAAGCTCAGTTTAGTTGAGGCCCAGGAGCGTTTCATTCGAACACATATATTTGTTCATTTGCTGCATAATTAATGCACCAACACATTCCCCCGGCCAGGCCTGTAAAATGCAGGGTGTAACTGCAGAGCGAACAACTGTTGTGTTGCCAACGTGCTAAGACAAGAATAATCACACTGCAATGAGACCAGGCGGACTGGTCCAAGCAGCTGAAGCCTTATAATATTCTCCCCTCCTGTTGTGATGCAGGATGGAGGCCAAATATGGCACGACTCCACCTGTATGCTGACCTCTTTATTGTCTGCGCCCCGCTTTGCACAATGTCTGACCCTCTCGCTGCTTCCATTGGCATCCACGCCCAGCCGAGTGACCTCATTAGAAGAGACGGGGGGTCGCCGCGCGGTGCAGAGACGCACGTGTGATTTTCTGCGCGGAGAAAACGGAGGCGGGGGAGTGGGATCGCATTAACGAGCCGTACAACGTTGAAGTCACACGGGCCGAGAGATGTGCAAAGCTTTGAAGAAGGCTGTTTGACACAAAGATGGAGAGACATGAAAGGATGAAAAGAGCCTCTCACCTTCACAGCGGCTTCTTTGACCCGCGGCCCCCCGACGGCCGCGTAGCAGCTGGAATACTAAAGACGGGAGCAACTTGTTTGAGGAGAAGAAAAGGAACAGACGCCTCATGTTAAATTTAACTTGATTTATCGGACGGAGCAGGTGCGCACTGTATCTTCTTAGATGTTGCACAGCAGCGATATCTACGTTTTTGTGCAGAAGCCTTGGTGCTGTGACCCGTTCCATGCAGCCGCCTCCACCCGTGCAGGAAGGTGCACATTCTGCATCACGACATCCAGCCCTCCCCTCTGCATAATGCTCTCGCGTCATTCTAGTTAAACCCATCAGTAATTCAAAACTTCCCGTGTTTGTGCAGCAGATTTAGCTCAGTCGTCTGTTTTGCAGGTCAAGTTGGTAATTCCCAGCTAGTAGGGGGGCGGGGGGTGTCTCTACAATCTTTGGCTGGCAGCTGCAGGAATCTCTGCTTAAGACAGATGTCAGCAGCTTTTCTCTTCTTTTTTTTTTTTCACCGAGATTAGCGAGAGAGACTTAAAAACTGCATGTCCCTCAAAACAACTTAAGTTTGGGAAAAGCCCCACATTCCAGCATAATTAGGTCAGCTGGTACTATGCCTCCTAAATCTAATTGGCCAGACAGAAGGGGGCCGGAGTGTAAATGAAGTGTACTTCTGTGGGTGCTAGAGGAAAGTGTGTGTGTGTCAGTCAAATGGAGGCATTGAGACCAGACTGACAGGACCGAAGGACGCCTTTGTCCCCCTGGGTTTCAAAGTAGCCCAAAGGACCAGGCAGGGAGAGGAGGGGGGGGGCTCTAGGAGACGATGGCAACGGTACGAAAGCGAGAGGAGGCCTTAAACCCCCTTGGAGAGCTAAACAAGCTTAATGAGAGCAAACTCCGCACCAGTCCGGTGGTCCTTTGACGGCTGTGAACATTGGACGGATCTGCAGGCGTCGCCGTGTAAACGAGCGCTTGCCTTTGGCCCGTTTGCTCACAATTATTGGGTTACAGCGCTTCGGCTGGCCGATGACATCACGTTCGATCCTCCCAGGCAGGCCGAAGAGTCGGATGTCAGCCCCAAGCGCTGATAAGACGCCATTGACGGCTACGCTGCAGTCTACAGGATTAGGAACCCCCACAAAGAGCTTGTCACATTGTGAGGCGGCGCTCTGTAATAGGCGTGACTTCATTAAATCTCATGTCTAGAGAGGAATGCGCCTGCAGTGATGGCTGCCTCCATCCCAGAATGGGAATCCTGCCCTCTTTTTAAGGAGATTATCAAGCGGAGCCAGAGACGACCTCAGCATCACCGCGCTGCACGGAGGGCTCCCTTCCTACGTGAGCATCACCCGGGATGCTGCGCAGAAACCAGCGCCATCCTGAAATTAATCATTCGCGCCGACCTTTTATCCCTGCAAACGGACAAATGATGGTGCTGACACGACAGACATCAGGGGTTTCCCTTAATTTAAGTGAGGCGTCAATCGGCTGGAGGCGCGCGTAACACTGCTTCTGGGGGGCTCTGTGGCGTTGGTGTCGGCTGGCTTATTATTTCCTTCTGGCATTAATGGCGGCGGACGGATCACCACCTGTCACGTGCCAGAAAGGAGGTTGAAAAATTGGTCTCCGGGGCAAAAAGAGGCCAGAGGAAGATAACTGGGTAGAAGCGTGAAACGTCACACGTGCTGCTCCGCTACAGGCAGCGGCCCACAGATGACCCCCAAAGCCTCCAGATGTTTGGATCATCTGGCCAGCAGCACCCAACATCGCTAAATCCACCCCCACCCGGACCCCCGAGTCGCTCCATCTCGCTCTCCCACAGATCGACGGCTATTTTTAGCCCTTAAGAGGGGGTGCGTCTCTAAAATACATTCAGAAGATGTGCCACTGATCCCCAATGATGGGGTTTTTGTATCCGCTTTAAAGAGGCTCTGACAGTGTGTCGATTTAAGCCCCCCCCACTGCACTAAAAAGAAATCAACAACAAACACACAAATGGGCTGATGCGTTTGCTCCAGCTGATGGGGGGGTCGGGTGTTCACATCGTGCAGATTCCTCCACGTTCCTCTAAAGGGCCTCAATATCCGTAATTGGGTGAAGTTCATGCACATTCTCACCCTCTGGGCTCTTCCACAGGGGCGCGCTGGACAAAGCCCCCATCAGCCGGACCCCCCCCCCACCCCACCCCACCCCCCACGGGGGGCTCCTTTTAGCTTTTTATTTGTCCCGTTGTTTCCCTCCGTAATGGAGTCCGAGTCGGCTGAGGAGAATGGCGATGGCTCGCAGCCGAGATGAGCATAAAAGCAGATCTTCTTTCTTTCGGCCACGTCCTCGTCTCCCCCGAGCTTCATCATGCTCTCCGACCCGGCGCCGGGGGGAGGGGTCCAGCTGTAGTTGTCTCTCCATCGCCGTAGAGTTACTTTTAACTCATTCTGACGCGACCTTGATGCGATGCAGAGCCCGCGGGACCTTTTCAAAGGCCCAACATCACAAAATCACCAAGCTTAACAAGCATAGCCACTTTCTTTTAATCTGATACAGATATTACGGCACTAAAGCCACGACGGGGGAATTCAACTGGGCCTCTAGAACCACACATGTGGGAGTTGGGAAAATAAGAGCATAAATGTTGTTGTCGGTGGGATTAGAAAGCGAAGCGGAGGAGGTGGGTTAGATAAAAAGCAGTATTGCCCTGCACTCGGTGTCGTTCCATTTGGGAACGTCTCCTGCTCCTTGTGGTAGTCTGTAGAAATCCACTGCAGGAGCGTTTTACTGAAGTGGGATGAAGTGAAAACAAGGTCAGTGGAGTGAGTGCAAGAGATAAAATATACACACTCCGCCTGTCTGCTGTGACATCAATAATACAGTCTTGGGGGGGGAACTAAACCACGGGGTGAAAAGCTGCTATGGATTTCATGAAATCCATTTTTACAAAAACTCTGGCGTTCGTAAGACTGAGAGGAGCCTTCCACAAAGCGTTAAAACCTTCCTCATCCACACTTGAGTTAAGCCTAAAACTTTGCACCCGCGACGGAGCGTTTACCCGTCCACGTTGAGGCTCTAGCAGCTCGAACACATTGAGAAATTCCTCCTGAGCTTTATGGATTTGAGCAGGCTCAACCCCACGGGGCTGTCAAAAGCACTTTAATGGCCAAAAGACAGCTTTAGAGTACAAAGTGTTGGATTTCGTGCGGTCGAAGAAGCTCTGACCGACAAAAATGTGTGCCGAGCTTGTGACCTCTCGCAGCTCAGTGCGAACCTTCATAAATAAACCAGCCCTCGCTATGGGCCCTTCTATGGACACACACACACACATTTCAAACATTCCCAGGAGAGGTCTCCCCACGATTAAATGCTCCTCACCCTTTTATAGGCGGGATGCAGACGGCCACACAAACCGTGATGGCTTGACTCTACACACACACACACACTGAAGGGCTCAGTGCAGAGGAGGACGGGGACGCTAAGGTGAAAGGTCAAGTCCCGTTATGCATAGTGATCAGATTGGAGGAGGATCACAGATCGCAGTCGGGTTCAGCGGTGGACGGCGTTCACGTCACTCCAACAACCAGCTGGCCCAACTTCAGGGTTAAAAACAAGAGATTACTCCAGCGGTGGGGGCCGTTGGGCTGATGTTCTTCATGAGATAATTGTTTACGTAGTCTGATATTACAAAGTCAGCAAGTGGATCCTCTGAATCAGTTAATGGTTCGACTACTAGGAAGTGGGACCAGTTTGGATCCTCGGCAGTTGGACGGATCAGTATTGTCAGCTCATCGTGCAGAAAGGCCCGAAACACAAGCGAACGCACGCGCTTGTTAGACCTGCGCAAAGAACCCAGATGAATATTAATGCATCTTCAAACACACTCCGCTCTGCACACAGTGATTAATCATTAAAGGGAGCAAACGAGGCGCCTGCAGTTTTTGTCTGTCAGTAAATTCCACCAGCAGAAAGCCACATTAACAAGTGACCAATTACACAGACGCAAAAACAAATTGTTTTTGGTTGCCTGAGTCTCCTGAGTCACGTTCGAGAGCGCGGTTGTTAATAAAGGCATTGGACCACTGCTGAGCATTGTGACTGCGTGTAGTCACTTGAGCCGCGTTACCGCGGTAACGGTGGCCATCGTCACCAAGAAGACGCTGCTTTAGCAGCCACTGAAGATTTGGCGCTCTGCGGCTCACGTTCCCGCGGCCTCCTCCTAGCTTTCGGGGAGTTTTGGTTTGTCCCTTTTGGGCTGCCGTAGGCGCTGCCATATGGTCCCTGTGCGGGAGGGACGAGCCACGTGAAAGACACGCACACACACCCACACACTTACACAGGCACGAACACACACATGCAAATCCTAAACTAGAAACAAATGACTTATTTCCATCGTGGCGTTTCATATCCGCACATATTACCTGAATATAATTAGGGTTTTAGACGTTCGATTGATAGACGTTAATTGTAATTCGCACCCTGATTTCTAAAATGTGCACTAATCGGCCCTTGTATTCTTCCGAAAAGAGACACCAGGCGCTCAATAGAAAATTGGAGCCCATTAGAGGGCCTCCCGGCTGTTGAATGCCTGCAGCCTGAGCGCGATAAGTCGGCCTCAGTCTCTGTGGTGACATCCCAGCTGGCCGACTGGCACACTTGTGGCCCACTGCCCAGAGAGACACCTGGCACCTCCCACTCAAACATGAACACACACACACACACACACACACGGCGGGTTTGTGCAGATGGGAGCCGATTCTTCTGCTGCAGGAGTTAAAGAGCCAATGTGACCGTAACGTTTCAGCCGAGGCAAAGATGTGAGATAGAAGTAGCGGGTCGCTGATGGCCCCCTTTTTCCCGTCACCTACAGAACAGCCAGACGGTGGAGCTCCAGAGGAACCAGCTGCGTGACGACGTCAAGGAGTACAAGTTCCGGGAGGCTCGTCTGCTGCAGGACTACAGCGAGCTGGAGGAGGAGAACATCTCGCTGCAGAAGCAGGTCTCCGTGCTCAAGCAGAGCCAGGTGAGGATGGAGCAACGTTTGAGCGCCGCCGCGGGTTTTTAACCCTGCAGGCCTTTTGCTTATTAGACCGCTGGTTGTGTTTGACAGACTCCCTTTCTAACAGATTCTAACGCTTCACGCCTGAACACGTACTTCCTGCTGTTAGTCAAATGAATGCAGAGGAAAAAAAACGGTTTCTCTTTGCACATCTGCAAACATACAACAGCAGATGAATTTCCTAGTAGGACATTTACATTTCAGCTTTTAAACATTCGCTTAATTCTTTGCAGATGCCCTCGTCTGTTCTTTATATCCAAAACAAAAGGGGCTCCTACTTTGCAGACATCCAATATGAACAGGATTCCCAAATCCAATTAACTTAAGACTAATTAGATTGGGAACTGAAATGGATACGTTCTTAATGCCGTGCGTTTTGATCCAGCTTGACGGTGTCGCTCCTCTCTTTGCCCAGGTGGAGTTTGAGGGTTTGAAGCACGAGATCCGGCGCCTGGAGGAGGACACTCAGTTCCTTAACAGCCAGCTGGAGGACGCCATCCGACTGAAAGAGATCGCCGAGCGTCAGCTGGGCGAGGCGCTGGAGACCATCAAGACGGAGCGCGAGCTGAAGGCGTCCCTGAGGAAGGAGCTCTCCCACTACATGAACATCGGGGACACGCTTTGCCACAGGTAAAAAGAAAGAGAACGAGGCGCCCGCCGGGCCGCCGCCCACACTGTGAGTAGCGCCACGTGACATTCGCCGCCCTTTCACCCCTCCCAGCCCCCTCAGCATCTCCCTGGACGGTCTCAAGTTCAGCGACGCCGCCGCCGCCGAGCCCAACAACGACGACGCCCTCCACGGATACGAGAGCGGCCTCACCAAGCTGGCCAACGCCATCGCCTGCGACAACCGCGTGCCGGCGCCCGAGAAGGACGAGCCCTTCCACCCGGCGCCCAGCCTCGTGGACGACCTGCTGAGCGAGCTCAACATCTCGGAGATCCAGAAGCTCAAACAGCAGCTGATGCAGGTCTGAGTGTAGAAGGGATGGGATTAATAACTGCACTGCACGGATGCGTAGCGATGGAATCTCACTGATCGGGGAGCAGGGCGGCCGCTTTCTGCGGCGTTGACTTTAGGTGACGAGGGAATCGGTAGCAAGATGAAGAGCCTGAGCAGTGGTGAAAGTAGCAAAGCTGTACTATCTCTCTAGATTGTGGGGATTGACTTGTGAGCACGAAGCCAGTTAACCAGAAGGTAACCAGAGGTGTGGAGGTGTGTCTGATGGAGTGAGTCAGAGTCTGTGGATCCCGACCTGCAGCAGGGATCGAAATCCCCTCTGAGCAAAGTTAATCCAGGGGGCCACAGACACACACACACGCCCTTCAGGCCCAGCTGGGCTGCGAGGGCGGCGGGTGGGGGCCACAGTGGACCTGCCATCTGCTTGCTCAACACCGCATGAGTCCCCGGCCGATGGCTGATGGGGTACCATGGTTACCAGAAATATGAGGAACCTCATGGCTTAGAGGTCTCCAGGAGTTGTTTTTCTCATTAACCCTAAACACGGATGCAGGATTCATAAAGGGAAGTCGGAGTCACCGCAACGCTGCTGCAGGTTTTGGTACGACGCGTTTGGGATGTCACACAGCAGAACAAAAAGCTTCCTCTACTCATTAAGCCACACTTCCTCTCCTGCCGTGTCTCACATGTTGATTAGGGTGATTGATCCTCGCTTGCAGCTCACGGCCACAAGCCCTCCTCCAACTCGTGTTGTAAATATGACCATACTATTAATCTAAATCTAAATATTTGTTGATTTCTGAAAAGCTTTCTGCATTATTGTCTGTCTTCCTTTTGTATTTTAACCTACAATATAAGGAAGACTGAATAAACAATGCGTGCCGACGGGCACTAAAGGCCACGCGATACCTGCACATTATTTGCTGATCGGCTTCTGAAATGGCTCCGCTTGTGCATCGGCGGGACTGTGTGCATGTAAGACGAACTGTCCCGTGCTCAGCTGATCCCCGTCCCGTCGATTCCCAAGGTCATCCTGACTGACGGCTACGAGCCAATGAGGTTGAACGTTGGTTAAACGCGAAACATAAGCCAAGCGCAGAGTACTCGGCTTTCGTTAAAGACGTGATGGGCCCCCCCCGTCTCACCGCCTCTTTGTCTCCCCCCCCCTCAGATGGAGCGTGAGAAGGTCAACCTGCTGTCCAACCTGCAGGACTCCCAGAAACAGCTCGAGCAGGTCAACGGCGCTCTGTCCGAACACCAGGAGAAGGTCAACCGCCTCACGGAGAACCTCAGCGCCATCCGCAAGCTCCAGGCCAGCAAGGAGCGCCAGTCCGCCTTGGACAACGAGAAAGAACGCGATAGCAACGAGGACGGAGACTACTACGAGGTGGACATCAACGGGCCGGAGATCCTGGAGTGCAAGTACAAGGTACTGATCCACAGGGTCCACAATTCGTCCTGGTTTATCTTTTTCTTAACCGTCGATCTGGCTCCTCCACAAAGGTGGCTGTGTCTGAAGCGGGAGAGCTGAAGGAGGAACTGAAGACTCTGAAGACCGAATACCAGGCCTGTCAGTCTCGTTACGAGGAGGAGCGCAGCCGCCTGGAGGTCGACGTCACAACGCTGGAAGGGAAGCTGGCGACGCTGGAGAAGACGAGTCACACGGACAAAGAAGAGAAGGCCAAGCTAGAGAAGGAAGTGCGCAAGGTGAGACGTTGCTCTTTGTGTGGACGCAGAATTTCGTTTGGCCCTTTCGTTCGCTTTGCAAGGCGGAAAAACGCTCATAATTGACGCCTTGTCTCTTGGCGTCCCCAGTTGAGCTACGTGGCAGGCGAGTCCCAGGGAAGTCTAAGTGTCGCCCAGGACGAGCTGGTCACCTTCAGCGAGGAGCTGGCCACCCTCTACAACCACGTCTGCATGTGCAACAACGAGACGCCCGACCGCGTCATGCTCGACTTCTACAAGCAGGGCAAAGGCGGGCGGAGCAGCCCGGAGGGCCGCGGCCGCCGCTCCCCCATCCTGCTGACCAAGGGCCTCTTCCCGGAGCCCGGCAAGACCGAGCCCGGCGACGGCTCCCCGTCCTCGCTGCCTTCCCCCGTGTCGGACCACCGCCGGGAGCCCATGAACATCTACAACCTGGTGGCCATCATCCGGGACCAGATCAAGCACCTGCAGCTGGCCGTGGACCGCACCACGGAGCTGTCGCGCCAGCGGGTGGCTTCACTGGAGCTCGGCACCGTGGCCGACAAGGACAAGGAAGCCTGCGTGGAGGAGATCCTCAAGCTCAAGTCTCTGCTCAGCACCAAGAGGGAGCAGATCGCAACCCTGCGCACCGTCCTCAAGGCCAACAAGCAGGTGGGTGGATTCCTCCTTGCGCTCGGCGTCCTCGGGTAAGCGGGCGTCGCTCCCCGACATTTGTTTAGTTCTCGTTGAAAGCAGCAGAAGGAGGAGTGGGGGGGTCAGCTATTTCGGGGGGGGGGGGCATTCCAGCCGCTGCTGCAGACGAGATGTATAACAAACGTTGGTGGAGAGTGTGTGTGTGGTTCTGATTGGGGACCAGCCCTCCAAGGAGACTGTGTGTATGCAGTTGCTGTGGAAGTATGTGTGTGGTCGGATGGCCACACATAAACCACACACACACACACACACACACACACACACACCTATGAGTCTAACACCTATGAGTCCGGCTGCTCCAACCCCTTTGTTGCTCCCGTCCACAGACCGCCGAAGTCGCTCTGGCCAATCTGAAGAGCAAGTACGAGAACGAAAAGGCCACGGTGACGGAGACCATGATGAAGCTGAGGAACGAGCTCAAGGCCCTGAAGGAGGACGCCGCCACCTTTTCCTCCCTCCGAGCCATGTTCGCCACACGGTAAGAAGCCCGCCGCCGCCTGCTGCGCGGACGTCCCTGGACAAAAAGACGTTGCGCCCACGCTGCCTTCCAAGACCCCGAAACACCCGATCGGACGTACAATTCTGACCTCATCCCATAAGTAGATATTTACGTGTGATTTTACCTAAATCCCACGTTGGTCACAAATATATTAGTTTGCAGACGCAGCAGTGACCGAGCACACGGCTGTTACTATTCTACTACAGATGGGCAAGCAAAGATGCCGATCATAATCTTAATTTAATCCCTGGTCACCATGTGTTGGCCACATCCCAGTATTGTTGTGACATGACATCTTTACATTGTTTTTGGAGCATCGCGGGTTAAGAAGGGATACTCTGCTTACTGTAGAACAGAGGGTGTCTAATCTGGGTATCATTTAAATATGTCACTTAAGAAGTGTTTTTGACCATTGATTTAGTGTGTGTGTGTGTGTGTGTGTGTGTGTGTGTCAGATGGGCTGGGGAAACTCCATAATCTGTTCTGATTCCAAAGAGAAGCCGGTCAAAGGTTCTGTGCATAATCCCACCTCCTCTTGGTCTGGATTACACATTCAGCCCTCAGCACAGCAGATTTAAGTGCTCAGCCCCTGCTTCTGTGTGTGTGTGTGTGTGTGTGTGTGTGTGTGTGTGTGTGTGTGTTTACATATTGGAAAAACGTACAAAACGTGTTTGTATACACTTGATTCTACTGTGCGGATGCACAACCCTCTTTTCGAGTTGCTCCTCTCTTTGTGGACCTTCTTAAGACGTCGCTGCCCGTTCTGCACTTTGAGGCTGCGCCGCTGTCCACAGCAAAGGTCAACCTGGCCTGAGGTAGAAGAGGAGGGAGAAAGACACAGCAAAGTGGACGCTCATCGTCCCCACGCAAGGGTTCAATGCCTGTCCCTGAACTCCATGTGTCGACGAATCGAACCAGTAACGCGAGGAAGTCTCCTCCTTCTGCAGACGACCAAAGGCAACCAGGGAGGAGCCAGATCTTACTCGTATCGCTCCATAGTTCCCGTCGCACCAGTGCAGGATCGTAGACGTAGATCTATTGACCTGTGTGTGTGTGTGTGTGTGTGTGTGTGTGTCGTAAGCGTCTTCCTGTTGGAGAGCAGCTGGTTGTTTAGGTGCCGCTGCTCTTAAGGCCCAGCAGCCCGTCACCACGGGCCGGGAAGCGGCTTTCTGTCGGCAGTATTGGTATGTAAATGCTGTCCCCCACGGCACAGAGCCGGGTCAGGGGACCCATTGAGAAGCCGGGGGAGCGGGATTTCCCACAGCAGCCCCCCCCCCCTGTCCGTCCGTCCGTCAGTCCTTCCTCTGTCAGACACCCGGTCCTCTAGTCATCAGGAAAAGAAAGGGAGGAAGAGGGCGGGCCTCCAGTTAAAGTAATTTGACAGTTTTTCTCATTTATTTTCTCTGCTCAGAGAATCACTGCTCTGCAAAGGTGGACTTCTGACAAGTGGGGGGAAAGAAAGCTAGGAATGTGTGGTCTTTTGTCAAAGGGGAAGAAAGGGGAACGGAATTGTGGGGGGAAAAAGGTCTCAGAGATTAGAGTTACTTGAGATTTTTAAAGCCTGATGGAGCGACGCGGCGTCGAATGTTTTGTGTGCGTGTTCCTTCCCGGCTGCAGTCTGTGGTGTACTTATCTCACACATTCTTAGACGCGCCTCGGCATGTTCTCAGCTGCGGCTCTCACTGATCCACAGTCCAACTATAGTCCCATTTCTGTCATCCACGTCCCTGCGTGTCCAATCGGGTTCCAGACAACAGCTGGCTGCGTGTTATCGTCGCTTACGCGAGTGTTATACAATAGCTGAGGTGTCCGCGTGCAGCCTTATTCTGTGAATAATTTCAGCAAAAACAAGAGGCCTGTTAGTCGGCGGTGTGAACTTGAGCCCCCCCCCCCACACCTCTTCTCCATCAGCCATTGTGCCACCACAAACCATCAGCAGGCCCTAAAGGCTCCCATTGTATCCCATTGGTCTCCAGAATAGACTCCTCTGTTTTTTCCCGGGAAAAACGCACACACCCTGTCACCCCCCCCCACGGAGAAGGAGCTGAGCCCTCTAAAGGCGCACCAGCCCCTCCCTCCCGGGTGCCCCCCCCCCCTCTCGTACTGGGTTTAATGAAGCAGCACTGATCCCCATTGTGTGGGTGTGTGTCCCCACTGGGAATCAAACTGCATTCACCGGGGGGGGGGGGGCATGGTGTACGTTTGGACGGTGGTTTGACCGGGCCAGAGTTCAAGTTGCTCACCAACACGTGCAGCCCCCCCCCTCCTCTACCACAACATCTGCGCGGGGTTTCTTTTGGTCTCAGCCTTCAGGAAGACGTTATAAACCCACTTAAACCTCGAAAACATTTCAAATGAGTGGATTTTGGTTGGAGGTGGAGAAGAAGTCATGAAGACGTCGGCCTTCTTCAAAGCAGAAGGGAGCCGGTGAAGACCCCCAAATAAAGGAAACGCTTAAGCAGCAGATAGAGAGAAGTGGAACGGGCCACAGCGCTTTTGGAAAGTGAGGCGCTGCTTGTGAACATAACTACCCCCCCCCCCCCCAGAGGTGTGTGAGTCATTACTGGAGAACGTCTCTGACGGCTTAGTCAGCAACATGGAAAGGGGACGGGGGGGGGGCTGACAGAAAGCGACCGATGCAGGCAGACGGATGGAGACAGCAGCAAGGAGGCGGGGGGGGGGGCAAAAAGAAAGGGCTGGAGAGGCGAGATAAGAACCGGGAGAGGCAGCGTCTGAATAGGTAATGAAAAGCACGAAAATGAAAGAGCACAGCGATAGCAGATGGAGGGTGGAGATATGACCCCCCCCCCCCCCCCGCTCTAACGCTGGCCTCTTTCCTGTACCTGTCTGTACCTGAGCAGAGAGACACACTCACAACCCAGCCAGGGCACCAGGAGACATGATGGTGCCGCAGTGCAGCAGTGATATTTAGGGGGAGGAGGAGGGGGGGGCAGCCGTCATAACTTGTGCTGTTTTACACTGTGATGCTTTTAATAGTGACTCCAACCAATAGCTTGTCCCCTGTTCGTGAATGGTGGAGTTGCTGGGGGTCATTGGGGCGGGACGAAGTCGACCATGTTGTGCAACAAGACCAGCAGCTGAGGAAAGTTCTCGCTGGAATTTAGTTTTTGGTTTTTGTTTGGCGGAGCGGCCGGAAGGTTGATGCACTCATTCGTGAGTGAAAATGATGGAACGTTGCAAGGAAGGTTTGCGGCGTGTGAGGACCAATGGCGCCACCCGGTGGTGCCTGAAAACCTACCGAGAAACTAGGGGAAAGGTTCTTCGGTCGGTCCTCATGACTGGATTTTAAAGAGCTTTAAACAAACCTTTTTTTTCTCTGGTCTCAGGTGTGACGAGTACGTGACCCAGCTGGACGAGATGCAGAGGCAGCTGGCCGCGGCGGAGGACGAGAAGAAGACGCTCAACTCGCTGCTGCGGATGGCCATCCAGCAGAAACTGGCGCTGACTCAGCGCCTGGAGGACCTGGAGTTCGACCACGAGCAGACCCGCCGGGGGGGCAACGCCACCCGGGTCAAGGCCCGCAGCAAGGCGGCGGCGGCGGCCGCTGCGGCGGCGGCCGGCCCCTGCGCCCTCCCCCACGTGAGTCAGAGCTTCACCTGCTCGGAGCTCAGCAACGCCATGCCCAACGGCATTCTGGGAGGCCCGCCGGCCTTCTGCAGCGAGAAGTACAAGATCTACTGTGACTGAGAGGCGGCCGGCGAGTCCGCAAGGGGCCGCTGTGTACAGAGGGGAGGGCCGAACCCTCCCCGCCGTAGTGTTAAAGGGCCCCACCCGCTCGCTTAGCTGCCCGCGTTCCTCTTATGACGCCGCGCGCCCAACCGGCTGCTGGCGTGCGCCCCTGTCATCGCTTTGGGGCGTTCTGGTGTGTGTGTGTGTGTGTGTACAGTTTGCACTAGACGTTTGGACTGTACTAGACATATATGGCATGTGGATTATAGGGCCCCCCTGGTTATATTGGGGGGGGGGTTTCATGGGTATAATGGCGTGTCTATTCTCTCCTCTGTCCTAGTGCGTAACAAGGTGGCAGCTTTTGTGCTTGTTTGTTCTGCCCCCCCCCCCACCGGCTCCCCCCCATGAGTGTATTACCTGGTGAAAGGTAATACACCTTTACAAAAAGCCTCCTCCGCTTCCTGCCCCGCCGACGCCCCCCCCCCCCACCAGGACTGACCTGCATCCAGCAGCCCACTGTCTAAATCAGGTCAAAGTAAAAGCAACTTTGAAGAGAACGAAACTAAAAAATATGCAATCTCCCCTCTTGCTTTTCTGGCAAGGAGGGGGGGGGGGGGCGCCACGGTGTGATTCTACACAGAAATTCCCACAGTGGGTTTGCTGCTGGTTTTATAACGGCTGGGGCAGAAATGGATCACAGGTGTTTATTTCAGGATCCTTTTTAAAGCCGTGACGCGGGTTAGGGTCAGTCAGTGTCGCATGGCTTTGCCGCTTTCATTAAACCGTTCGTATGGCGCGGGACGAACCTCCTGCACCGCGGTGTGAGAGGAGGAGTTATGTGGTGTGTGTGTGTGTGTGTGTGTGGTGAAACACAGGAGGGCTATTCCGTGTGACCCCGTTGCGATGGATTCTTTCCGAGCCATATATTCCGAAGGTCGGACGTCTCCCAAATGAAGTGCACTTCGGCGAAGGTGCCTCGGGTTCCGGGCCCCCCCCCCCCGTTCAAATGGACACGCGGATCACCGTAAAAAACAGAGATGCGCTGTGGTATTTTTTAAAATGCGGACCGAATCCTCGAAGAGCACAAATATTTAAAAAGAAGAAGAAAAAAAAGGCACCAACAACGTGCACAACAAAAAGCCTGCAAACGAAAACCGACCGACCGCTCGGCCAAAGTGCCTGCCGACCCAATTGCGTGATCTATCGATCTACCTGTTGACGTAAAGCCCCCCTCTGAATGTCTTCGGTCGGGTAACGTCCTCGCGTGCGCCGTGTTCCCTGTGTTTGCCTGTGCGTTTATGTGACGGGCCCTCGGTGTGTATTACGGTTCTAACCTTTTTGCAAACGGAGGGTCTCTCTTTTTTTTTTTTTTTTTGTTGTTGTTAGTATTATTTTTTTGGTGTGTGAGGACAGCGAGTGACTTACTGTTTTTGTATCCACTATAGCTTTAAACCCTTGCAAGCTAGCGTCACGCAAATAGTAAGAAAAAACAAAAGTGGGGCTTGTATTTTAATAAATCCATGTACTGCTCGCGGATCACAGACGCGTTCGCTTTATGGTGCTGAAAGCAGGGTTGATGAGGAGATCCTGCAAGGTTGATCAAATTATGCGTTTTCTACTGCCACTATGCTATATATTGAAATCTATATTCTTAATACGGTCATGTTCAGGTTTATAATCTTGCAGGATCCGACCACAGTGTTCCTCCCTCTAAAGAGAGGGAGCTTGATTAAGGCGGAGTCAACCCTGCTTGAGAGTGCATCCGTGAAGCCGCGGCCTGGAGACAAGGCCGCCGTGCACGCCTCCCGAGAGGCCGCCGTGCACGCCTCCCGAGAGGCCGCCGTGCACGCCTCCCGAGAGGTCACTCACCCGTACGTCTGAGATTCACTTCACTTCCAAGCGTGATGCATTCTTTCTCTACTTTTTTTTTTTGCTCTCCTACTGTGGAGGAGCTAAATGAATCCAGTGAGAAACCCGCAGTCCTCTTTTGTTGGAGGGAAGGACTTGATTCTCGTTATTTGGCAGAGATGAATTCCCACGTCTCCTCGCGTGGTTTGAAAATTGATGTCTTGGCTTTTCTGCTGTCTTAACAGCGTGCCACCTGTAAAGCTCCTCCTACCTCGGCTGCAGGCTCCTCCTACGTCCCATTTCCCAAGTTTTATCACATGATGCATCCAGTTTCTGATTCACAGTCAGCCTGCACGTCAGCCCATTCTCCATCAACTTGTATGGCTCATTTTGACCCCGGGGGGGGGGTGAGATAACGCTTCATCTTCATTCGGACTTGAAGAAAAATGTTAATAGGAAAACCTTGATTACCGATTTTTTGCTAAAAAAGAAATGAGCTAATCTCGCCCCTCCAATAAGAACACAGGGTCTGGTGTCATCTTTTTTGTTTTGTTTTAGCTGTTTTTTTTATTTTTTTATCTGTGCACTTTCATTATATAGGACTATAACATTATTAACCTGTAGGAAAGCGTGGTAGTTCTATGGTTTGTCAGCTATTCATTATAGGATGTAAGACTGTAGGATTCTACATATGAATTAAATAACAAAATAACAAAGCTCTAAAGGCTCCACAAACCACAGACCTGCTATCACGACTTTATCCTCAAGATTATCCATTGAATAATCATGTTTTAAATTATTTTGTTACATTGTATGTTAACCTTTTTGGTGTTTCTTTTGTGTTTGTTCTACTGCCATGTTCTTCACAAGAGAAAAAATCCTGGGTGATCAAACTCTGGGTTTTTTTCATGTATTTATTATTCCTAGGAATAGATTGAAATAACACAATGAAACTTTGGACAACGCCCTGACTCAAATAGGTAAGTTGTGTCTCAGCAGGGGGGGGGGGATTTGAGTGCCATGATGTGCTTTTCTCCTCACTCCTTACCGAGGGCGTTGCGCTGAAACGGGACCACTGACCCCCAGAATTCTCTGCAAGTGCAACAATTAAATTCAAAATGGGAATTGTTTCATTCTCTCTTGATTTATCGTGCCAAATCCTGGTGCCCCGTCGAAAAACAAAAGGTGGAAACCAATCGAGACTGGGGAGGGAGCCCACCCCCCACTGAGGCAGATGTATTTTGGAAGGGGGGGGGGGGGGGCGAGGCTCTCCAAAGCCAGCGCCGGGGATCTAGTCTTTGGTTTGTTCAGTTTCCGTTTGTGACCAGTAGTGCCTTTCATTGTTTCAAGGGAGAACCGTAGACTAGTATTTTATGTTTTACCTTCTGTTTTTTACAGGAAAGGACTTTGGGTTCAAAGTGACTGTGAGCAGCAATAAGTGCAAACGGCCATTTTCCCGTCTGCACGAGTGATGTGAACGTCTTTGAAATTAGCTCAATAAAACTGAAGTTGTATTGAATTCTGCAGGTCAGTGGTCCCACTCATTAAATTCAGGGGTATTATGAAAAGTTTTTTAATTTTTTTTTATTGAACTTTGGGAACCAAATGAAATCCCTTTGGCCTCCTGCTGTTGGACAAAAACGCTGGGAGCTTCTCGCGAGGTATCGGAGGAGGTTGGTGTACTATTGGAAACTTCTACGCATCTCTAGCTTTGTTTGGTGAAGGTAACGTGATATCCATAGTATTGTTGAAAAAATGTGCACGAGAGCGCATTTTCTCTTTGTTTGTCCAATTTGAGTTTTTTTTTTTTTTTTTTTGAGTTTGCTGTTTTGTTATTATCGTGTTTTTTCTACATCCTCTTTGAGCATTATGTTTTCAGGAAACAGAAAACAAACGGAGCATCAACAAGCTTGAATAGTGCCATTAAAGCCAATGCTTGTTTGTTGAGGCCTTAAAGTTACCAATACGGACGGGAAGCTAGGAAATAAAAGTGCAATTCAGACGTTTTAGATTTTGAAAAACAAGGAAAAGTTTTCTGTTTGCTGGAAGCGATAGCGTTGTGATAATACAATTAGCTGTGCAAACTATATTGTCATATTGTGTTTCAGTATTGATCCATAATGAGTTTGATATCTTTATATGAAATAACGACTTCACCTGTATGTTGGTATTTATTTGAATTGTCATGCAGTACTGTATTCCTATCAATAATGTGCATTATGATTAGTGACATATTGATAAAAGCTAAATGTCATATGCATGTTTTCCCAGTCATGGGACCTTTACACAGAATTGAAAACAAACACGTAAAACTTTTTATCAGGGTGTAAAATTGTTTTTTGGGGGGAAAAAAGAGACTAGTAAAGTCTGATGTATTACTGCTGAACTAATCCTGCAAAAGTGTTTTGTTTGTTTTGCAGCCGAGAGGCCAAGTGTCTGTGTAAAGGTCGTCATGCTGGCTAAAAATCAATAAATGTGACTCCAGTTCCAAAGCCTGTGCTCGTGGTTATTTTAAAGGCGCAGACAAAGGGTTAACCGAGCGGCGTGCCCGGCCCCTCGGGGGGCTCCCAGCTGGAAGCCGGGGCGGAGAGGGAACTTCCCAGCTGCTCCGGGACATGATCGCGTTTCACACAATGCACAAAAACATTTCCCCCCCCCCACCGGCCCCCACTCTGAGACCTCCTTCCTCTGCCTGTCTGCCTGTCCCATCTCCTTTCCTTCCCCTCTTCCTGCCGGGTTTTGGAGATCCTCCCACGCCGCCGATCGGAGCCAGTTTCTTATGACCTCTGGGGCACCCGGCACTTTCTGTCCGGGCTCTGGGGGCCGGCGCTCTTGCCCAATTATTGCAACAGTGAGCGTAGAATGGAGGAGAAATGCTGCTGGGCACTTAAACCAAAACGAAATACGCTTTTTCAGACTTTAAATGTTGCCTGGCCTTTTTTTGTGTATGTAGGATGCGCTTGTTTAAAGTCATTTAACTTGAGTCTCAATCTGTTTGAACATAGCAATGGGAAGAAAAGGGTTGAACCTTTAGAACAAAGGAAATATTGAATTATGCCAAATTTCGGTCGAGCTCCAAAAAAAACCCAGTTTGAAACTACACTTCAAACGATGCAGCGCAATACTGTCGGGCCTAAAAACAGCTGCACCGCTAACATCTAATCCAGAAAAGGCTGGACGCCAAACCAGTTGCAGCCATTGATCACGTGCCTGATTGAAATTGAATGGCAGAGGATCAATGAGAGCCAGCGGGCAGAGGTCAATCCACCGGTGACATCGCCGTAGCAACAGTGGCGCCTTGCCGGCCTCATCTTCTATCCTCTCCATCCTGGGCTCAACTGGAAATATGGGTCAGTGGGATTCACGCCATGTCACCACTCCTGCTCTATTGATATGCAGGTACTGTGAGGGGGGGGGGGGGGATTCGGCAGCTGTTTCTAATCAATGCCGGTGCACTATTGAGTCTCACCACTTGGGGTCCCTGTTGCACAGTCTTCACGGGTCGGCCCGGAAACCTTCAAAAGTTTCTTCAAGCTCTGGCCTTTAAAAAAAATTAAAAAAAAGAACAGAGCAGCAGAGCGTGTCTCTGCACCCACAAAGAGTTTTATTTATGAGCATCGACCCGCGCTGTCATGTGATGGGTCCACGTGGCGCCCGAAGGAGCCGGAAGGGGGGGGGGGGGAATCAGCTGATCAGCACACATGCCTCACATGGATGCTTCTCCTTTATAAACGCACATTTGCACACGGCTCTGGTGGAGCAGAGAGGGGTGTGGGGGGGGGGGGGGCGTGAGGAGGCCTCCCCCACTGACTCGTGCGTCGCCTCCACCCTTTGGGGTGTGTGGCGGCAGATGAGGTGTTGATTGAATCAGTGCGAGCCGTCAATTTGCACCTGGAAAGAAAAGGAGTGAATGAACATCGACCGGCATCCCGTCTCTCTCTCTCTCTCTCTCCTCCGTGTCGACTTTCACACCTGACTTTCAGCTCCAATTCCTCTTCCTTGCGTTATTGCTCATCGGTTTCTGAGCCTCTGTGGTGCCCGTCTCGGTGTTGTGCTCGCATTGTGTAACCTTTCTGTTTTTAGGTTTATTTTATAACCGCTGCCTCCGGGGACTGCAGATAGAAAATAGCCCCTTTAAAGAATTAAACATGTGAATGCTGTGTGGCGCTGTGGATGTTTGTGGAGGAGAGGATGTGTCCCAGGGGGCAGTTTGGTTGCCCTCTGACGGGCTGACCGGGCCCCGGGGGGGCCACGCACCCGGCGGCACGAACGCGGGGCCCTTCGGTCTGTTTGAAACACGAGTTCAGTCGTCCACAAAACACACTCAGACTCTCTGCGATTCACAATCCCTCACCAAGGGGGGGTGGAGTGGGGGGGGGGTGTTTTTCCTCTTCTCGTATTCGCATGTGTCTCCAAAATGAGAGTCATGTTTTTGCGGATTATACAATTAGCGTGCACTCAGCGAGCCGGTGGCAGACTGAGGCGAGGGGTGATTTATAGACGCGGCCCATTGGAGGGGAGGAACGGGTCGGCGAAGGGCCCGACGGGCTGGCGAGCAGCCAGACAGGGAGGCAATATCATCAGGGACCACCCCCCCCCCCCCCCCCCATCCCCCTCCCCTCCATTGTCCCAGGCGATCCGGGGCAGATGAGGAGCGTGCAGCGGCGCCCACCAGAGGGGTTAATGGTGCGTGGACGAGTCGGCGAGTGTTTCCAAAAGATTGGGGCTGGTTTGGGCAGCGGGGGGGGGGGTGGACGGATGTAGACAGGCTGTGAGGGGGGTTGGAGGCCACAGTTGGAGACCGAAATGATGTTGTTGGAAGGTTGGAAAACGCTCAGAACTTAAAAGGACGTGTGAAGATACGGATTCTCTAATCCTGGTGTTTTTTGGACTCAGACAACAGAAGCTTTTAAGAAATCTGGAGGGGAAATCACTTTTTCTTTTGGCAGAAACGTAAACAGCTCATCAGCAACATGACTCGTTGCTCCAACCGCACCCTTTGTCAAAACATAGTGTCATCTTTAACACTGCATCCTGTTTGATAAACTCGCCATGTGTTCTTAATGTACAACGTCAACCGGCAAAGTAAAGTAGTGGCCTAATACAGTAAATACGTGTAGAATTAAGTATACAACTCAAAAAGGTACAGACTTGAAACTGTACTTAAGTAACACGTCACCACCGATGACCGTTACTATGACAGCGGACCTCTGATGCTGAAGTGCTGCACCTCATTCAAAGACCGACGCGTCCTAACGTCACACTTTGAACTTCGACCGGGACCAAAAACACAGCCTTTCAAGACTGTAACGAGGTCCGAACGCCACGTTGGTTTGGTCCGTCCTCGTTACTCTGCACGGAGAGCTCAAAGAGGCAGCTGACCGCGTCCATTCGGCTGATGCAGACCGAAGATAATCAATTAAAGGACGAGCAGAGAGCCTGAGCAGTGGCATGGAAACACGGCGGCAGTTAGAGGAAGAGCCATCTCTGGGAATAGGCCTCAGTCCTTTACGTGACTCCACATGACAGCCCAATGTCACGCCTCTGCGCCGCCGGGCTTATCGTGGCTTAAAATGCCAAACTGAACAAACTAAACACTGAAGAGAGGGAAAACTTGAAGGAGGCCCGGAAGGAAGGGTCGAAGGATTAAATCGACTTCAGCTTTTTATTCGCAATCAATGGATGGGGTTGCCGTGCGCGCCCCCAGCGCCGGGAACGCGCATTTCCTTTCCTTTCCTTTCTTTTTTTTTTTTTTTTCAACGACACAGAAGAGCGACTCCGGTTTCGGGAGAGAGAGAGAGAGAGAGAGAGGGAGAGAGAGAGGGAGAGAGAGAGGGAGGAGAACGCGCTCCATGGAGCCCTGCAGCGCGCGCGCGCACGCTAGATGAGCCGGGTGAAGTCTGTGAGCGCGCGTGAGGAAACAATGCAGTGTCCGCAGAGCGCGTTTTGTTTTCCTTAATTCACATTTTTTGATCGTAGCTGATCGGGAGAACCTGGAGCGGAGACGCTCCTGCGGCTGAGCCCTCCTCCTCTCCTTCCCTCCTCTCCTTCCCTCCTCTCCTTCCCTTCCCTCCTCCCTCGGATACGCTGGAGTTTCTCCTCGAAGGAGACGGATTCAGCGGAGAAAGCGGAGCGGAACTTAGCGCACGATGCAGGGGGGCCCGACGGCTGGTGAGTCCTTCAGTCTTCTTCTTCTTCTTGTTCTTCTTCTTCTTCTGCGGTGTGTGAACCAGCACTACTTCTTCTTCTTCTTCTTCTTCCTCCTCCGTCCGCTTCTAAAGGAAAAGAGCAAAAACGACTCCGCGGTTTGCTTAAGTTTTGCTTCCAAGTGGCTCCGGGGGCAACGGGTCGGGTTCCGAAATGCTTTTGCCAGCTGTCACCGGGGGGGGGGGGGGGGGCAGCTGCAGGCCGGACCCCCCCCCCCGACCCCCCTCTCCTGGTCCCGACCCCCCCCCGCCCCCCCTTCGGAACGAAAGAGTTGCTTTTGGGTCGGTTAAGGAGCGCGAGCTGACACGGCGAGAATATGGAGCCAAACCGTGGAGAGGGACCCCTCCCCTCACGACCCTTACCCCAGCCCCCCCCCCCCTCACCTCCCCCCCATGCGACCCTTACCCTAACCCCCCCTCACCCACACCTTCCCCACACACACAGTAAATGGGTGAACCCAAATCTGACTGTTAGTTTTGATATTTGGAGGATGTGTCATTCATCCTCCTCCCTGCTGTGTTGTGTGCGTGTGTGTGTGTGTGTGTGTGGAACAGGATTTGTGTGAAGGAGAGAGTGTGTGTGTCTGTGTCTTTGATGCAGAGCTCGTGAGATTAGAGAGTCTGTCTGTCAGTCCATCTGTCTGCGACTGAGGAGTGAGTGTCTCTGTGTGTGTGTTTGTGTGTATTTGTTTGTTTGTGTGTATTTGTGTGTGTGTGTTGTGTCCTCCCCTGCACTCGTTGCAGATACTGTGACCGCGGTGACGGAGCTGCAGAGACCCGCATCTCTTAACGTCCCTGAGGAGGATTTTCTTATTGGTTGTTTAGCTCTTTTCCCTCTTCATAAAAGTTCTGTCCATCTTTGTTTCATAGGGGGGGAGTGAGGGGGGGAGTAAGGGGGGGTGGTGGTGGGGGGGAGACGGGGGCGCGTGTCGTGTTTCTCTTGCTCTCCAGATCTCTGGCATGTGGCCTTTTCTTTATATCAGCGAACCACAGCGAGTTACTGTGAGAATAACTCCTCGGAAAATTCTGCTAAATCGCAAGATCTCTCACAGAGGCCTCTGAATAAAGTGCTAGCATGCAGACAGAGAAGGGAGGGGGGGGGGGCGATCAAGATGAAGTGCTGATGGGATGATATCAGGCTGCAGCAGAGGTGAGCTATGCAGAGAGAGGGAGGGAGGGAGGGAGGGAGGGAGAGAGGAGCGTGTTTGTTGTGAGGCTCGGGGGAGGAATCGATCTGCCGTCCTCCTGGCTGACTTTCTTTTTTCCGGCAGTCCAGCGGTGCATCGTTTCTCTCCCACGCACGTATGCACATGCACACGCACGCACACGCACACACACACACACGCACGCACGCACGCACGCACTCATTCCCAAGGACTTGCTGGCTGGTCTTTTTTCGATGTAGTTTGCTCTTTCTCTCCCACACTGTCCCAAATCAATCTCTCTGCCTGCCTTTAAACCCTGACCCCCGCCCCCCCCCCCCCCCCCCCCCCTTCTGACCCCCCTTCATCCCGCAACACACACACACACACACACACACACACTCACACATGAGTATGAAATCCTAATTATTTCTCTTTTCTGAAGTTCTCCCTCAACTCTATTCCTTCTGCATGGGAGCACCGTGCACCGCTCTCTAATGCTTGTTTTGGTGTTTACGATGGGGGGGGGGTAGCGTGGCGTGGGAGTGTGTGTGTGTGTGTGTATGTGTGTGTGTGAGGGGGGGGGGGGTCGTTTCAAATCATCCCAGAATCTATTCAAAATAAACCGCATGACAAACAAACCGCGGCGCTGGGACGGACGGACGGCATTCCTCTGGACTCGCTTTTCCCAACTCCGTGAACTTCTCTGCTGACAAACTCCAGACCCCCCCTCCACCCGCCCTCCCACCCCCCTCCTCGTACCCTCCGCCCCCTCCGCCCGCCCCGCCCCCACCGTTCTACAGATGCAGGCCAGTGGTGGTCTTTGCGTGGCGGCCGTTGATGCTCCTCTGGCTGGCTGTTTCATGGTTATTAATTATTAACAAAAGCGTCCCGTGTTTGAGCCGGCGTAAACACCTCCCCTGTGAGCTGCATAAACACGCCGCACGGGAGCCACAGGGGACGACGGGGGACAACGTTACCCAGATCTTTTTGCCCACCCCCCTCCCCCCCCTGTTTCATTTATTTATCTTAGGTCTGATGGAGTGCTGCGCGTACGTGGTGAGGCTTTAGACCTGCGCTGTCGCACGCCGCATGGTAAGCGGTGAGAAATAGAAGTATAGCCTAAGTGCACCAAACGTGCAGTTTTACTTTCCACGGAAGGAGTCGATGTGGCGGCGACGGTAGACGCATGTTTTCCACTTGCTGTTCGTTCCCTTTCAAATCACACAGGACCCCTGAGACATCTGGGAATTCTTTTTCTTTTCCAGATTCAAGGTATCGAGCTTTTCACCCGCAGCGCATTTTTTTTTTACATTCACTGTTTTCCGAGTGTGCCAAATTGATTTAAGCCAATCTTGCCAATATAAAAAGTGTCTAATAGTGTGGTGGCTGAACGGAGTTTCAACCATTCACATGAACATACACATCTTTCAGTGACTGAACAGAGCGTTCCATCCATACTCAGCCACGTCGAACCTCCCCGACGTTTCTCTCCCTGTGTGTCATTCTGATTCTATGTGTGTGTGTGCGTGTGTGTGCGTGCGCGTGTGAGACGACGTGACTCAGTTCGATGCACATCTCCCAACCCGAGTGTCACATTGATTTCCACGACGGTGGTCATGTGTAAATTGCTGCCGTTGCTAAGGCTGTCTTTTGATTTCTTTACCCTAACCCGTAACCCTGGAAACGACCCGTCATCGCCGTTGGAGTGTTTCGCGTTGAACGAGCGGACGTCTATCGGTCCGAAACGCCAAATGATTCCCGAAGGCGAACTGGTTTGTGCCCACGTGTCGCTGGTGCTCCCGTTTAACAGGTCGTTGACTCACTTGCCGCCGTCAGGGGCGTGTTTGGAAACGTGCCGCGTGATTATTGTTGCATTTAATGGCTCCATTGTCATTGTGTACCATGTGTAATAAAAAAAAAAGGATGTCATCGTGACCACGCGCGGGTTTCACCACGCCCCGTTTCCTTAACTTATTTATTTGTATATTCCAAGTTGAGTCACCGCAACGCCACCCGCTCCTTTTGTAGTTTTGAGGCCTCGGGTTCGGCGTTCTGTCCGTCGCCATCTTGCTTTCTTTGAAGCCGGAAGTGACGACAGAGGGTGGACTGAGACACACAGAAGGAAGAGGTCCACGCTGAGGCCTGCGACGGGGCGGGCGGAGCTGAAATAATACGGCAGAAGAGACGTGAGCAAATGGTGTTTTTTTTTAAACGTTTTTCTGTTAGCGAGTCTGACTGAAGTATCGGGTATTAGGATGTTTCTGTTCGGGAGCTTCCTGCACATATGTTTATACTGGAGTATAAAAGAATCTGGCACACACACACACACACACACACACACACTGACAGAAGGCGGAAGTGACCCAGTTTTCCTAAATGGTACCAACTGTTGAGGTCTTCTAGAAACGAAGGGAATCGCTGGCGTGTCACCCTATAAGGGGAGACTAAACGGATGTCACGTCGGCCCTCTGGATAGAGCCGCGTTGCGTGTGATCCAGATGCAAGTGCGGGGAACTTTTAGGGTTTTTTTTAATTTATTTTTCACATGCGGTAAACGTGACGGCGGGAAGGACGAGAAGGTCACTTTCTCCACGACTCTCCGGGTGTCCTCTGCAGCCTGCTGTCGGCCTGCATCAGACGGGCCCTGCTGAGGGGGATTTTTCCTGGGAAAGTCGTATGGAAAAAGAAAAAGAAAAAAAACGAGCCTTAATAGTAAAAGCATGTTCCATTCTAATTCTCTCCTTTCTGTGTGTGTGTGTGTGTGTGTGTGTGCACATTTTATGAGTAGAGCTCCCTTCTAGCACACTGAAGGCATTGTGTTTTTCCTCTCTGATCATCAGAAGAGGAGGCGCTTCCTGTACACACTGGGGTGAGGCAGGGGGATCTGGAAGGGGGGACGGAGAGGGGGAGGGGGGGGTGGGGGTGAAAGAGCCAGGTGGGAGTCACCTCGAGGTTAGCATCAGCTAAGCAGTCTGGTTCACAGCTTTAGTGGCCACACAGAGACCTGAAGGTGCAGGTAAACGGTCCCGAGTGTGTGTGTGTGCGGCTAACTGCTAACAGCTAACAGGCTCCTGACGGCTTGCAGCAGATCGCCTGCACGCGTCGCTGATTGTTCTGTGAGAGTTAGAATTTTTTTTCGGTCGCATTAGTTGAGTCCCACAGTACAGATGTGGGGTTTGCGGACGCAAATGTGCACCGTGGGGATGTAAGTCAGCTCTCTCATTTGGCTCATATATTCATTTTTAAACATTGATACCTTTGGTAGGATCTAAGTGGCCCGGGCAGAGGGCCACAGACGAGCCGAGGAAGTCCAAAATAACTGAGGGATCGACTACTGCATTGTTGGTTTGGGACCTTTTTTTTTTCATGCGATCCGTAAAATACTGGTGTAAGTTTCTAAAATCTATGATGGGGCTCTAATGTCGATCGTTTCCCAACAGTTACTTTGTAAACGTATTATTTATTATTCATAGATTTCTCTGAATAAAAGAATCATATTTATTAACAGCGTCACGTTGTTGGATGTCTCACTCACTTTTTTTAACAGTTCCAGAACCTGTCAATCAGAGGGCCTGTGAGAGTCTGCTGAGAAATTCAGTATAAAATAGTTTAAACATGATCATTTGTTCCCTTTCACTGGAATCAATCTGGATAAATATGAACATGAAATTATGTTGTCTAATGGGACAATTGATTTAACCTTAAATCTAATATTTTGAGGGAGGATCATTAGAAGATTAGAAGTTTCTTCTGTTTCTACTTTTTATTCCCACTCACTTTAATGCAAATAACAACGTGATTATTACATTTTTCCCTTGAA